CACAATTTTATTATATAAATATCGATAAATAACAAAAAAGATCAAAGTTTCCAATTATTTTTCAAATTGGTGCACAAAAGATTCTGAAATAACACATGTTATATAAATTACATGATACTACACTTTTACAATATAAAAGTTGTGTTAGCAACAAGTCAGAGGAATTTATTTATCCAAACACTATACGCATCCAACAAAGCAAGTCTTTACCGTACTACTTTCGAAATCTTTAGTTGACCAGCAATTTTCTCATGGTTGTAACTTTTGGTACAAACTTCCTTAGAAATATTTGCCCTAGTAAAAGCTCCCAAGCCTGTCATGCTCTTAAGCACCTGTTAAAAGCATTTAAATTAATGCTTCTCAAGCACCTACTACAAGAATTAAATTCATTGAAAACCCTCAATTCCCTATAAAATGAATGAACACTTTTGATGAATGAACACAACAGATGTATTTCCAGAACACCAATACAAGAATTCATGTAATAAGCATTTCCAATACAAAAATGTCTCTTACATTGTGTCAAGAGCTCGTTTCCAATTAAAAATCACCCACTATTATATTCGTTCTGTAGAACTTTAAATTGATGTGAACAACTATATATACTTGTATTATAGCTCTATTCGATTCTTTAATAAAATTGTTTAGTTTTGACTTGAAAAGAAAACAAAAATACTCCGTACAACTTTACAAGCTCTCTCCATGTACAGACATCTGTTCTGGGTTTGGCTTCAGTAATGAAAAAATCCATTATATCTTTATCCACTATAATTGGATTCAGTCACGTAAGATCCATTTCTTTACCATTATTATGACCTCTTTGACATTGTATTCAAATATTAAGCATTGAACTGAAAAAATTTAAAATCCTATTAAACATAAAAGCACATAACAAAAAACTTCTAAGATATGAAAAAATTTCATTCAAACATTTCAACAAACATGTAATGGGCATGTAATTGAAATACAACAGGACTTAAATTTCAATGGCTTACATCATACACCTATATCAATGAAACAAACTAGTCAAGAATTCAACATAATAGCATGTTTAATTTGCTAAATTTAAAAAAAAAGCATATGCTTATATGAACATAAAAGAGAGTTGATTATTATTACCCTGGTTTTGAAATCTTGAACTGAAACCGGACCTGAATTTAAACCTGAACTCCCATTCTTTCCAGATGCAGAACTGTCTGTCCTCTGATCATCCATTGAGCGGCCAACCCGAATTCAAACCCAACAAATGGAAAAACCGCATCAGGAAGAAAATTCGAGGAAAACGGCAAGGTAGTAAATTTCCTCAAGGGAAAAACAGGAGCATAAGCTCTAATTTATGTGACCAAAAAATAAGAGGGAGGAAAAACGAAGCAGAAAAGGGACGTAGTGTAAGTGAGAAGAAAGAAAAAGGAGAGGCAATGGTAGTGAGGATGAGAGAAGGGGGAGGGAGGGTGGCGCAGAGGGTAATTTTTCCTGTGTACACAAACTGTTCCACGAAAGCGGCCCTTCACCTCAGGGCTTTTAGGAGGTAAGTTGGGCTTTGACATCGGGTGTGAAAAGCCTAGTTATTGTACCACTTTGATACCTTGAAAATTTGAAATAAAAATAAATAAATCAGATAAGTTATATCTGATAAATCAAATGAAAGTAATATCAAAATATTGTGTATTATACTTGGTGTATAAAGATATATGCACACTACATGCAATAGAATTAAACATTTATGTGGCATTGGGAAAATAAAATAAAAATAAAATGGAAATAAATTAGATAAAATATAGATGACAGAATAAATAAATAAATAAAAATAGTAAGAATATTAAAAATAACTAATAATAGCATCAAGTTAATAAATGAAAATATCAGATCATAAAATAATGGCACATGTTAGGATCACCTACCAAATAATGTATATACATTATTTACATATATAATTATATATATTTATATGTAAAAATTAAAATAAAAAAATAAAATGAAACATCAATATAAATGACATATGCCATGTTCATCAACTACCAACTTATCATAGACATTATTATTATTATTATTATTCATACAATTATCAAATAAATAAAATAAACCATAAGGACCATCTAGACCTATAAATACACCCTCTTAGTCATCCCAAACACTGCAAATCGGAGAGATAGAAGCTATATATACATATACATACATATATATATATATATACATAATCTCGCCGGCAAATTTATATCTATATTATTTTACGTATCAAACTTCCCAATAAATTCCAGATCGATTCGTAGTCACCAGATCATCCTAGAGCTCGCCGGAGTTGCAATTCGTGGAAGCGGGTCTTCATAAAAAACGGATATTTTGCCATAGATAGGGGTGGCGGAGCTTCATCTCGCCGTCAGGATCATTTTGCAACTTGAATCGTCGAAATCCGTTACCTGTAAGTCAATTTATAGTTCGCCGAAGTTTCCTTAATTTCCCGGTAGCCGGAATAACGATCTGGAGAAGAATTGGGACGAAGATAACTCAGTCTTCTTGGGCCGGGTCAGTTTAATGGGCCAGTTCGGCCCAGTTTCGATAAAAAATAAAAATTACATAGTAAATGAAAAAAATAAAATCTGAAAAAATATAAATTAAATACCTACTATAAATATACATATGCGGACCAACCAGAATTGAAAATAATATTTTTAACTATTTTTAATTGATTTAATTGTAATTGGGCCAATTTGTACATATTTAGTAAATAATTAACTAAATGACGAAATAAATCATGAAATAATTATTGGAGTAAACTAGATTAAATATATGACTAACTAGGACATTTGGGACCATTTATATTTAATAAAAATTATGATTAGTATATTTAATTGTAATTAAACCGGTTAATAAATATATGAAATTAAATGAATAAATACGGAAAATAATTCTAAAATAAATATCTGGACAACCTAGGTCAAACATAGACCCAAAATATAGTTAGGGACGGTTATAAATTTATAAATCGATTCTTAAGCTATTTAATTTAATTGGGCCATATAAAACTAGTTAAGTAATTAAATAAGAAAATTTGAATAATAATGGTGAAATAAATAAAATCACGAAGATTGGAAATAATATTTTGGACTAAAATGAGGTTTGGAATAAAATAAGGAAAAGAAAATAAAGTTGGGATAGCTAGCATAAATGAATGACTATATTTGGACTTAATAAATAAATTATTGAATTAGTGGACTAATTAAATTAGTGTGATTAAATTAATAATTATTATCCTCGATTATTATTGATTCGGACTCCATATAAATTATTAAACTATTTGAACTCATAAAAATTAGTTGAGTAATATAAACAAATTAATTAAGTAATGTGTACTTAATAATTTAGTTAGTTGACTTCATTGGACTAGTTTAACTAAATCAATTAGTTTAATGGATAAATTAGTTAAATTATGGACGTGGTAATATTTTTGGACTTTATATTAAAAATAGAAAATTAAAACGAAATTAGAATTTGATTATTGGCCTTAATTGAATTAGATTAATGTATTTAGCTATATTGATATAATTAAACTTATTTATTTGATTTAGTTAGTTCAATTAAATTAGTGAATCAAATAAATAAAACTGGAGGATTGAATTAATAATTTAATTGGGTTAGTTAGTATAAATAAACTATTGAACTAATTAAAGTTGTTATTGAGACTAGATTATCATCAATGATTATTATTTCGAATTATTGCTTACGTCAAATTATTATTAAAAGGTTTATTAAATAAATTATATAAATTATGTAAACTTAATTTTGAACTGAAATTGATTATTTAAATTCGAAATAATGAAATTATTATGTAGTTAACTAATTAATCAAATAAACTAAAGTAAATTATGGAGGGATTAGTATGATTAGAGAAAATAATAAGGTTGGGCTGAAAATTAACATTTTAAATAAGGTTTATGAATCTAACTTAATAGTTATATTTAAAGAAGGAATTATGAAATTAAAATAGTTAAATGTTGGATAGATAGGAAATAACAAAAATAATCGAGTAGTTATTGATTTAGAATTTTGATATATATTAGAAGGAGGATTCAAGTGAAGACCAAAGCTAGAGATTTTATTAAGGGGATTATCGCAATCTAAGGTAAGTTCTATGTCAACCAAAAATGTTTTACCTCGTACTTACATGTATGCACTATTTGAACTATGTGAATTATTTATGAATTGAAAACTATTTTTTTGACTTGGAATGAATATTTTGAATGAATGAATATTCGTGGATTATTATCTATTATGGATTATTAAATGTATATTCTTTTATTAAAGAATATTGGTGGATTGATATTTATTACAAAGGATATTTTTGAAAAGTGTGACAAGACTGACTTTGGGAAAAACTTAAAGTTTTTCATAATATATTTTTGCATCTCGAGAGAAACACGAGGTGTGGGTGGTTAGGGCTACTACTACTTTTGGTTGAAACTATTTGGGTCGGTAACCAATCCGACAATGACATGCTCCGGTAGACATCTCGGGCTTTTATTTGAGGACCAAAGGTCCTTTGGTGGTAGTATTAGTAGTTACATAATTACCCCTTGAGAATGTCCCTTGTGAGTAGGTGGTAGAAAACATCCTGCCTACTTGGGTTCCTTACTACTCGGAGGGCTTGGAATCCCTTTTAGAGGGTGTGCACACTTAAGGTAGAAATTCAGCTTCCAATTGGTGGTCGGTGGGAGCCGGAATTCCGGGATGAGTCATAAATAACAACGACTCATTGGGCTCGAGGAATCTTGAGTTTCGTCCACTCTTAAAAGAAATCTAAAGTATTACTTTTGGAGGAATTGAGGAGTGACATTATCTATTTAAGAAATTAGTTTGAGACATGAAGTTATTTTGGAAATATGAGAGGGTATTTTCAATATATATACATATACAAAACCTATTTTCAAAATTACATTATTTTACGGGTTCGGATGGAATTTTATTTAGCTCTAAAGCTAATTTTTGTCATAGTCTATTCACAGTTCAGCCTAAATGACATCCGCGAAACCCTTTGCGACAGTCGCAGGGATGCTGAAAGCCAGATCGAGCTTCGCCCTCCGAACTCGAGGAGGTCACGGCCCGAACCCATTCCTTACTCCCGGCCACCAGGAGCGGCCCAACGGCTACCTCTTCAACCGTACGCCCCCGCCGCCAGGGCAATCCCGAAAGTGGGAGGACTGGGAGCTCCCTTGCTACATCACCAGCTTTCTCACCATTGTCATCCTCGATGTCAGCCTCAACGCCAACCCCGATCTCACTATTGAGACATGGGCCCATCAGGAAGCCATCAAAAGGCTCGAGCTCGAGTCCTCTTCAAAATCCGAGTGATTGTTTGATCGGTCAATCTGGGTATGCTTTTGTTACGCCCTCTTCTGGAATTAGGGTTTGGTAGAGAAGATCACATTCTGAGAAGTTTTCTGTTTATATTTCCTGATGCAATTTGGTGGAAAATAATTGTTGATGTTCATTAACTAATGATTTTGATGGTCAAATTAGACTCCGTTATAATATAACTTCAGTTTACAGCTTTGTTTGACATGGTAATATTGTGCTTCAATGAAGATGCATTTTCATCAATATATATATGATAGCATGTTTTCAACATATATCTAGGTTGGTTCTTATGATTGTACATCTACATTATGCTTGTTTAGATTACCCAGTAATCCAATATCAGCTTTTTTAACTTGAAAAAAAAAACTAATTTTTGTCTCTTTTGTCTCCTCTTTGCTCTACTGTACAGATGATTATGATTATGAAGATTGATGTACTTGTTGCCGAGTGTTCCGCTAGTTGCACACATTTGACTAATTATCCTTGTTTAAATTTGTTATTCATAAACTTTGTCCTGAGAGCTATTTCATTGTTATTTGAACTTATGGTGGATAGCATGTGCACTCAATCATGTATAGGTTGAGTGTGGCGATGACGCACCTGTTTTTCCCTTAAAGACTTCCGCTGTACTCTAAATATGTGTAATAATAAAGATGGATTCATTTAAAAATGTGATTTTATTTGGGTGGGAAAAATGGGGATGTTACAAGTTGGTATCAGAGCCCTTAGGTTCTCCGAAGGGATTAGAACACGAGGTAATAGGTCGTAGGGAGAAGTTCTGTCACCAAGACGATAACAGTCTAAGCTAGTTGATTCTTAATTGAGCCTTGCGCTCGTCTAACTAACTGGGAATTTCTCCTTGTGCTGAAACTTCACCGTTCGAAATCCTTAAAGGGAAACCTTTGAAATTATACCTCCAAATGGGAAATTTTCAAATATTTTTTTAACTAGGAGAAATAATATAGCTAGGAAATGGTCTGTTAGGAACGTGGTGAGGACCTTGTGAGTAATTCTTTTCCTTGCATGTATGTGATAATTGTGCTAATTGTGGGCCCATATGAGAAATGGGAACCCTAAATGTTGAAGGGAATGCCTCATAAGACAAAATTCCAAAGTGGCCAAGGTATGTACAAACATTATGTGCAAAAGTGTTCTTATGTGAACTGTGAATCTTATGTATGATTGTATGGTATGATTTTCATATTATCATGTTGTATAACCTATGGAATCCTTAGTTGAAATAGGATCATTAAGAGCAAAATAGGGAAATTCTTACACAAATATATTGTGTTATTAAGATATCATGGCACCGAGAAGAGACTCTGATAATACACCCACCAATGCTGAGCTGACACAAAGCGTCCAGCAACTGGTGTAGTTCATGCACACATTGGGTGCTACTGTACTCCAGAATCACCAAAATCAGAACAATGGAAATGATGCTGCTAAACGAGTAGCATCTCGCAACCCACCGAGCTTTCATGGGAAAGAAGATCCTCGTATCCTCGAGGATTGGATCTGACTCTTTGACAAACTCTTTGACGCAGTGAACTATCCGGAAGAGCAAAAAGTTGACATTGTTGTTTATTACTTACAAAAAGAGGGGGGATAACTGGTGGGTCTCATCAGGCCCAACCCTACGTCAATAACCCAATTTCGATTGGGAAGCTTTCAAGATTGCCATGAGGAAACGTTTTTATCCTGCTCACGTCCAGGGCACCATGCATGAGGAATTCATACATTTGAAACAACTGGACATGAGTGTCCAAGAATATCACACTAAATTCCTGGACCTCGCGCCGTTTGCAAAGACAATAGTGCCTGATGAGAGCACCAAAGTCGAGAAGTTTATTCGTGGATTAAACTTTGATACACAGAAAACCGTCGCTGTTTTGGGTTGCGAAACTCTGACGGATGCCTATGATAGAGCTGCACTTCACTATCGTGTTCAGCAGTTACAAAGAGAGAGAAATCAGAAAATGAAGAGGTATAGAGATGAGGAGAGAGGTCGAGGAGAAAAGGGGTTTAGAACGAACCCACCTACACAACAACAAGAACGGAGGGAGAGAAGAGATGACCAAAGCGGAAGAAATTTCCGTGGTCAAAACCAGCAAAATGATCGGAGAGCTGCTCCTAGAGATAGGCACTTCTACTGCAAGAAGTGCGGGAGAGATCACCCTGCGGTTAACTACGATGGGAGCCTAACCAAATGTTTCAATTGCGGGAAGCTAGGGCACCGATCCTTCGAGTGTCTGTCAAAGACCAATGGGGCACCATTGAACCAGGTGCAATATCATGATGGAAACTGAAGCGGGCCAAATGGCGGGCAAAACAACAACAATGCCGCCGCCATCAACAACAACTGCAACCCTCGAGGAGGAGGGGAGAATAATCGCGGTCACGGTAATGGCGGTAACCAAGGAAATGGCGGGAACAATGGCAATGGCGGAAATAACGGAAACCGTCCGAACCAAGGGCGAATCATGGTAATGAACCAAGCCCAAGTCAATGCCAATGATGTGGTCTCACGTACATTCCTTGTAAATTCTGAGTCTGCTTATGTTCTATTTTATTCTGGTGCTTCTCACAGTTTCATATCTTCTAATTTCGTTAAGAGATTAAAGATTGAACCAACAGCTAGAATAGACTTGAATGTAAGAAATGCCTCAGATAAATTTGTAACTTGTGGAAATGTATACTCCAACATTTTCGTACTCATATGTGAGTCCAACCTACCTGGAGACTTAATCCAATTTGACTTAGAAGATATAGACGTAGTACTGAGCATGGACTGGTTGGGGAAATACAAAGCTAGGATCCTATGTGATGAACAGAAGGTGATCTTGAAGGGTCCAAATGGGAAGAGAATATCTTACAAAGCAATCACAACCAAGCCCAGTATGAAGCTGATGACTATGCGACAATTACGACAACATATTCGAAAGGGGTATGAAACCTACTTGTGTTTGATGAAAGAGGTGAATACAGAAGAGCCAAACATTGACCAAATTGATGTAGTCAACGAATTTCCGGACGTATTTCAGGAAGAGATTCCGGGAATGCCGCTCGAGAGAGAAGTTGAATTCTCAATTGAGTTGATGCCCGGAACTGCACCAATTTCAAAAGCACCTTACCGGATGGCACCAAAAGAAATGCAAGAGCTGAAGGAGCAACTGGAGGAGCTATTAGAGAAGGGTTACATAAGGCCGAGTGTCTCACCTTGGGGCGCTCCGGTCTTATTTGTCAAAAAGAAAGATGGGAGTCTAAGGCTATGTATCTATTACCGGGAGTTGAATCAAGCAACTATCAAGAACAAATATCCATTACCCCGGATTGACGACTTGTTTGATCAATTAAAAGGGGCTAGCACGTTCTCTAAGATAGACTTGCGCTCTGGCTACCATCAAGTGAGAATAGCCGAGAAAGATGTACCAAAGACAGCATTCCGCACGAGGTATAGACACTACGAGTTCACTGTGATGCCGTTTGGTTTAACTAATGCACCAGCGGTATTCATGGATCTAATGAACCGTGTATTCTGACCTTACCTTGATACCTTTGTAGTGGTATTCATTGATGATATCCTCGTTTATTCAAAAACCCCAGAGGATCACGAGAAACACTTGAGACTCACGTTGCAAACTTTGAAAGATAACCAGTTATATGCCAAACTCTCAAAGTGCGACTTCTGGCAGAATCGGGTAGCGTTCTTGGGTCACATTATCACCCAAGAGGGTGTATCCGTAGATCCATCCAAGATTGAAGCGGTGATTGAGTGGCGTGCACCTACCTCAGTCACAGGTGTAAGAAGTTTCTTGGGATTAGCCGGTTACTATCGGAGATTTGTTAAAGATTTCTCCAAGACAGCAAGACCATTAACCAACCTGACGAAGAAGACAACTAAGTTCCATTGGGATGAAGATTGTGAAGCAGCACTTCTGGAGTTGAAGAAAAGACTCACAACCGCGCCGGTCTTGACATTACCGTCAGGATCGAAGGGATTCGATATCTACAGCGAGGCTTCTAAGAAGGGATTGGGGTGTGTGCTTATGCAAAATAGGAAAGTGGTGGCTTATGCATCGAGACAATTGAAGGTACATGAAGTCAACTATCCTACTCATGACTTGGAGTTAGCTGCAGTAGTGTTTGCACTGAAAATCTGGAGACATTACCCATACGGAGCACAATGTAAGATATACACTGACCACAAAAGCTTGAAGTACATATTCACTCAAAAAGAGCTTAACATGAGGCAAAGAAGATGGATCGAACTTCTAAGTGATTACGACCTGGAAATCCAATACCACGAGGGAAAAGCTAATGTGGTGGCAGATGCTTTGAGCCGGAAATCTGAGCACTCATGCCGAGCAACATGGATATTACCAGAAGAACTGTTCTGAGACTTTCAAAGATTGAAATTGGAAGTAAAACAATATGGCGAAGTAGATAGTGAAATACAGTTATGTACTATGACCGTTACACCATCTATCTTCGCGGAGATCAAGAATGGGCAACCGGGAGATGTGAAGCTCGAGAGAATCAAGGAAGGAATGAAAGATGGGGTCAATGGACCATTCAGGACACATGAAGATGGGAGCATCGGATACAAGGGAATGTGGTGTGTTCCGCTGAAGTGTGAGATATTAAAAGACAAATCATGGAGGAGGGACACAACACTCCCTACTCAGTACATCTCGGGGGAGACAAACTATACAAAGACCTCAAAAGACATGTTGAGGGCATGTGTTCTTGAATTGCAAGGATCATGGGATGAACACCTAGACTTAATAGAGTTTTCGTACAATAACAGTTACCATGCTAGCATCGGAATGGCCCCGTACGAAGCTCTATACGGTCAAAAGTGTAGAAGTTCCTTATGTTGGGGTGACATAGTCGATCAGGTGGTTCTAGGACCACACTACTTGCAACATACCATAGAGAAAGTCAAAGACATCCAAGAGAGGATGAAGGCTGCCCAAGACCGACAGAAGTCATATGCCGATCTTGGGAGGAAGCCAACTAAATTCGAGCTAGGGGAGAAGGTTCTACTCAAAGTCTCTCCTACTAGGGGAGTAATGAGGTTCAGGAAGAAAGGGAAACTAAGCCCGAGGTTCGTCGGACCTTACGACATTCTAGTGAAGGTGGGA